TTCAAATAGAAAAAGATTTCAGAATTGTAATAGTCTCACTAATGAGTTTCATTTTGAGATTGAGCGTAGGATGAGATAGAAAATATTTTAATTTTCTCGATAAATTCTTTTTCTTAACATTTTCTCTTGAAATTAATGTCAAGTAGAAAAAGATTTGACTATACTTTATAATTCTTAGTATTGTTTGTTAATTTGACATGGGCCTTCAAATTAAAAGAAGAAAAAAACAATTAATTTTCTTAATTAAATATTTTCTTTGCATTTTCCTTGGAATTAACGTCAGATAGAAAAAGATTTTGACTACTTTCATATCATCGCTATTGTGTTTTCTTTTGAAATACGCCTACAAAAAAAAACGTTTTTCGTACTTAAATAATAATCCTTTTCATTTTATGTCCTATCCAAGTGTCCCTATAGCAGCAGACAAAGAAATACAGGGTATAGCAAAACCATTACGCCCACTCTACAACTTAAAGTACAAACGATATTCGCAAAGTATTTTATATCAAATGAATGCTCATCAAAAACTGAATTTATGAATGTAATTAGAACAATTATTGTCTATGAAATTATTGAAATGTCTTGAATTACATGTCAAAATGCACTCGTACTTTACGATTTTCATTCTTTATATACATATTTTCACGAAAGATGATGGCAGATTCGTAATTTTTATCAAAAACTGAATCTATAGACATGTCATTTACATAGTTTTGACAACAAATTTTGAAATAAAATATCTCGATTTATATATATCCGTGCACGCAGTTTTTGACGGAGACCACGAATTTGATATTATTTTGGTTGAAAAATGTAATAAAAAAAACGAAAAATTGCAATATACGAACTCGTTTGGGCATAAAAATGCCATAGATTTTATAATATCGGGTCTATAAAAGAACTACCATGTCGCATCACTAGCTTAAATTGTAAATGATAAAGTTACCAATTTATTAGAAATATAAACGTCGTACAAATCGACGTTTATGGAAAAAACTTCAGAAATTTGTATGACCTTCTTCAACAGCTTTGAGGGTATCAAATCTGTTTCTAATTGACCCAATCGAAATAATTGCTTTCGTCAAAAATATATAAATGATATGTCTATAGGTTCAGTTTTCGATGTAGACTACTAATCTGCTATTATCTTTTGTGAAAATATGTACATGAAGAATGAAAGTCGTAAAGTACGAGTGCATTTTGACATGTAATTCAAGACATTTCAATGATGTCATAAGCAATAACTGTTCTAATTACACTCATAAATTCAGTTTTTGATGAGCATTAATTTGGTATGAAATACTTTGTGATATCATTTATAATTTAAATTGTAGAGGGAAACATAATGATTTTGTTATATCCTGCAGAAGAACCTATGAAAACGACTAATTACTTCTTATATTGGGTGAAATTTTTGACCGTTTATGTGTTACAGATTGTTAATCGTTTTCACATTTACTGTTTGTAAACGTTTCTGATCTACAATCGCGGATCGCGATTGATATCCGAAAATGTTCAAATTTTTCGTGCGTTTACAAACGTCATCATATTATAACTCTTCAGACTCCGACTGGTATTAAAGCTAGAAAAGTTTTCGAATAAAAATTTTTCACCTGATTTTTCAATAACTTGATATAGGAACAAAAGTTGTTTGTGCTCTGAATTGTTTTTTAATCGCTGAACGAACATGTCAATTTCGGCAAAGCTGTATATATTAAAACACTTTTGAAGATATCTTCTAGAGCTAAAGACTTGAGAAAGTTAGTTAAAAATGTTACACAAATCCACGTTGTTGATATAGAAGAAAAGCACTTCATTTTTTTAACAAATTTAGCCTTTCTCATTTTCCCCCTTGCATAAGAAGCTTAGAAATGTGTTCATTAGATGTAGCGTCAAAATTTGCATCTAATGATATTAGTTAACTTATATTATTAGATTCAGATTTTGACGCTGCGTCTAATGCACACATGTCTAAGCTTCATAAGTAATGGGAAAAAATGAGAAAAGGTTATTTAAAAAATTGAGTGTGCTTCTTTCGTATAAAAGATGTGAGTTTTTGTAGCATTTTTTTAAGTGATTTTTTCAAATCTTTATCTTAAGAAAATGTCTCAACATATTTTTAATATATATATTTTTTCAGAACTCTGCGTGTTCTATCAAATCATATAAAAAAGTCAAAGAAACACATTCACTCCATTTTTGAATTACTTACATCTTACTTCATCAGGACGCATCATAGTGTGAGCCGATATTTATCGACCGAAGTTTATTATAGCATGTTATTTTCTCATAAGTGTATATTTAGTTTTGTCGCTTATTAAGTTCTCTATTGAAAAACATATAACATTGAACTATACCTTTAATCTGGAGAAAAAAAAGTATCAAAAACAGCCTCAAGCAAAAAAAAACATGCGTTCTCAGGGTTTTTTATTTTTCAGGCTGTGTATGAAATTTGTATCTTTTTTTATGCTTTCTTTTTACGGTGTCGGTATCGGGGAGTGAAGTGTGAATGAAGAGGCAGCTCTCGCCTACAGCAACAATGAAAGTCTGTTGGTTGTCTTTTGATTGATTTAATAAAGAGTAGAATTATGAAAGACATTTTCGTGAACGTATTCTTGTATTTTAGGGTCATACAGAAGGTGTTATACATACTATCAACTCATTATCTCAATTGATGAAAAGAGCTTCATTACTTCTCTCAAATAAAAAATTAAGTCATTTATCACCAAAATGTTTCTTAATTGGAATTCATATTCGTGCCGGAGACCAAGCAATAATTCAAACAACTGTTTGTTTTTAGATGAGAAAATAATTCTTAAGATATTTGAAAACTTTTTTACACGCTCTCAACAAATAAGTAACACAAATAAGAAATCATTTCGTGAAACAAGTCGAAGTTCAAAGATTTTTCTTTTATCTAATGATCTTCCAATGTCAACATTGTAAGCTGCTTTAAAACGTCAGCAATTCTCATCAAAATGTTTTTAATCATTTGAAATGCATGTCAATTGAATAAAGTGATTTAAACATTTTATCAAATATGAATACATTTTTTCATGTATGACATAGAAATAATCCAATATTGTCGGTTATCATTGGTTAGAATATGAATTATTCGTTTATAAGACTATTTTCAAATAATGATCAGTCAAATATTTGAAATAAAGAACATGTGACAAAAATGTTCTCAAATATATGAGAAATAATTTAAAACTCATATTAGTGTAGCCACTTTGAGACTACAATGTGAAACTCACATATACTCTTTAGCCTGATTAAACTAATACAAAATACGTATAGTGAAAAATCCCTCGTAGACTATACCTGTGTTCCAACATAATCGATCACCAGATTAAGGATCTGTTTTATTTATTTTTGTATTTCGAACAGAAATTTTTGCGGACACCCTATTTTTTGTTAGCATTATTGCTATTTGCTCTCTAATTTCTGAAATTAACATTGTTATTTTAACAAGTAACGTTCGTCGGTTCGACTCACTTGACCCTCGACTGTACCGGACATTAGTATACAAGTCTCATCCATGGACACCCAGTTATGAAACAGCTGATTAAGGGAGAACTTATCATATATGTCGGATTAACTTAATTTTCAGTCTGAAAGATCGAATTGGTTGAAAGTTCAACATTAAAAGTACGAGAATCAAACACTTAGCCAACATTTTTTATTACGTTTCACCTTTCACTCTGGCAAAAACAGACAAAAATTTATTTTATTTCATATAACCCTTCCTACGCTCTAGAAAAAATTATTTTCTCCAAAAACCTTTTCTCGTGAACCAAAAAAATTCAATTCAAAATTTCGAGAAGCTGATCTCAGATTCGGATTCTCCGGCCTTGGTTTACTTTCTTCAACCTTTAAAACATCGTTATTTTCTCAAAAGCCCTTTTCTCAACCTAACAAGTTCATTTCAACATTTCAGAAACCGACTTCAGATTCGGATTCTCCAACCCCGTTTTGCTTTCGTGAACCTTTATAAAATATCATTATTTTCTCAAAAAACCCTTTTCTTGACTCTAAACACCCGATTCAAAATTTTAAGAAACTGACTTCAGATTCGGATTCCCCGACCACGATTTACTTTTGTCAACCTTTATGGAAAATTTTCTAAAGTGAAAGTTTTTTTACCCTAATGTTTTTTTGATCCCAATGCACACACACATGCACACACACAAACTATTTTTTGTCATATGACCCTCCCTACAGTCGAGGGAATTTCATGTGAGTTAAATGATTGTTTACCTTCTATGGGTTCATGATTATATTCTCTAAATAAGTATGTCCTAAATCTAGGTGAAGAAAGAGAAAACTATAGAGATTTGAGTTCCATGTTGAACATGGAGCATAGATAATTAGCAATATTAAAATAGCTTTTCGCATTCAAATCTTCATTTTCGGGATGAAAGAAAAACTAGAACAATGAACTAAAAATTGAAAACAAAAAACTACATCATTAACAACTTTATGATAAATTTAGCTTAGGAATCCTGATGCTGGATATGAAAAACAAACTTTGGAACTGCGAGTCAAAGTCTAGATTCAATAATTAATCATATACTTACTAACTTTAGGATGATTCTTTTGTTTGAATAGTCTAATCTTGGGTATAAAAAACAAACTTTGGAGCTGTGCTCTTTGATTTCAGCAATAAGATCTTTACTAACTTTAAAATATTTTCTTGTTGTAATATCCTAACTTTGGAGAAGAAAAATAAAATCTGACTTATTTTTCTAAAGATCTTTAGTGATCATGAATCTAATAAGAAAATAATCATATACTTGTGAGGTTCTCCTTTTTGGGAATGTAACTAATGGCTTCAACCTCCGTTGTTGACGTAGGCTGAAATATGTAATCTAGGATCTAAGCCTGCTTATCTTGAGAAAACTCACAATCAAATGCCTACCGTATATTGTTGTTCAGGTGACGGAATATGGGTTGTAATAAATTCCGTTATGTAGGTGTTTCAAATATTTTATTAATAGATGATGATGATAGAAAAATCACAGAAAACANTTAATTTTCAAGTGCAAGAATTGCCCGGTCAATCACATGTATTTTCACCTTTACAATTGTCCAGTAGTAATGGCGTAAATCATGATTCATCATCATTATATGATGATAATAAAACACATCTTATTGTTGGTGATTATGATATGGAACGTTTATTAAAACGTTGTAATGCTGTTGTATATATAATTGATGCTCAAGATGATTATACACAATCAGTATCAAGTTTAAACATGATTATACAATCAGGTAGACGTGTCAATCCAAGATTAAGATATGAAGTATTTATACATAAAGTTGATCAATTGTCAGAAGAAGAAAAAATAGAAACTCAACGAAATATTCATAATCAGGTATAAAAAGTATAAATTAAAGAAACTATTGACCTTTCAGAAGCTATTTAGTTGATTTACGCCGTTCTTCATACACGAGAAGGCTTAATATAATATGGCACTAATGATGATTTTTTTTGCGTAGTAAATCTGTTATTTACAGTTATCTCAATGATAGATATATCAGAAGATATTCTTTAATAAGCAGTAGTCAGCCACTATTGCACCAATGACAACATCTGTCGGAATCAGAGCTAAATAACTCCTTAGGAAAAAGGTTATTCTGGAATAGTATGTCAGGACGTTTCGAACCTTGTTATTATATTAATAAAAAGAATTATTGCATGTCTGGCATAGTTATTTGTAGCCATAGTTAAGGACTGTTCTGTCATGAATATAAGATGCGATGCAAAAGCCTTTGTACAAATGTCAAACTCAGTCAAACCATATTGACAACATCTAAAATCAATTAAATACTTTCTATTGGAGAGAAAAACGTGTAAACTATAAATTTTGTGCCAGACTTATTTTTCTGGAACGAATCTACGAAGCTAAAAACTAAACACGTTTTAAACAACTCATGTAATAGTTTTTCAGCTTGAAAAAATTCTATTTATCAACTATCTGGAACGGCATAGATTTAATTCTAACAAAAAAAATACACCCATATGTAGCGCATCAAAAGTTACATAGAGATTAACTTCCGTAAATTTTTTAAAGACCCGTTCTTGATTTCTTTAGTAAAAAAGATGAGAAATTGAAGTTGTTGTAGAATAGAGTCTTTGCCAAGAACTATTAATTTGGAAAGAGATCAATTACAATCCTCAGAAACTATGTATGAACTAAATTCTTAATGTACTATTTGTGTCTAATACGTCACATTCTAGAAACTTTGCAGAAAAACAGAATCCAACACATTTGTTTTATTGTTTCAAAACAGCCAGGTAGTAAGAAAGACCAAATTATAGTGTCATCCAGAAACAGCCATATTTTTCTAAAAACAAACAAGATTAAATTTAAATTCCAATACGCTATTGAAAAGGCCACTCTCTATGCTACAAAAATCATCGTTAAACGTACGTTTTCATGTTGCTTTTGATATAAAAAAATGAACAGAATATATAGAAAATGATATTGCGCGAAGGTGAAGTTGTTTAGTTTTTGGTTTATCCTGTTTCTTTAATTCGCTTCAGAAAAGTAAGTCTGGAACAAAATTTGTAGTTTAGACTTTGTTCTTTTCAACAAAAAAGTAGTTTGATAGTTTAGAAGTTAGCAATATGGTTTAACTGAGTTTGGAAGATGTGCAAAGACTTTTGCATCGCACATTATATGTTCTTCCTTTCCTTATGTATTCGATGAAATTTTTCATATTCATAGATATGTTCGCTTAAACTTTTTGAAGTTCAAAAAATAGATTTACTATTAAATAACAAAGGCAATGATTGAATTGAGATAGAAATGTACTTTGACCTAGAGCAGTTTATCAAAACATTTATTATACATAGTTTTTATTTCGTCATATAAATAGTAAGCTTTAGTGGAATAGTAACCATAATACTGAATTTAATACCTGCTCATGAACATGAAGAGATATCTGATCAGTAAATCAATAGGATCAATACTGAAAAATTCTTTTCAAATTGATCTTTGTTAATCGCTGATCTTTTAACTTACTTTCGAGAATTTTCAAAAGTGCCAGAAACTAATCCTTTCTTTTTGATGAAACCTATGATAATATCTGTTAGATTTTGAGGATACAACCAAAAACTGAGAAGGATTACTATTCCATATCCTATCTCAATGAAATTTATAGTTGCTCTTACAATTAAATGCTTCATTTGAAAGCAACAGATTTGTATCTCATTGCTTTTCCTTCATACTTGTCACTAATCTTATAGAAAGCCTTTCGAATATTTCTCGTCTCCACTCTTGTCATTGACTAAGAGGCAAGATCGCATGTATGCACGATATCCTACTGAAATCTGAATTAATTTTCATTTTTCTTTTTAGGTACGAGATCGTTTTGCTGATTTAAATGGTGGAACAGATTCATGGCCATTAACATCATTTGGATCGAATCCAAATTCTCAAAATATATTAATCAATTTTCATTTAACATCAATATTTGATCATTCAATATTTGAAGCATTTTCAAAAGTAATACAAAAGTTATTACCACAATTTAATCATTTAGAAGATTTGCTCAATTATCTTATATCAGCATCAAATATGGAACAAGCATTTTTATTTGATATACAAACGAAAATAAGTATTGCAACTGATTCATCACCAACTAACATGCAAGTAAGTTAAAATGTTTTTGAAAAAAAAATCTTAATGATTTATTCTATTTGTTAAGATGTATGAATTATGTTGTGATATGATTGATTTATTAATTAATATGAGTCAAATATATGGACGATCAAATAGTGATGTTGTTGAAGCAATTGAAGATGATATTAATGATGACGAAAATAATGAATCTATTGCGAAAGATATTGATGATTCAACGAATTCATATTCGACTAGTAAGATATTGAAATAGTTTTCTAAGTACAAGAACAAACAAATGTATTTTGATGTATTAGGTTCCTTAAGTACAACATCGGCGGAAACTTCTTGTTCGTCAATAACTGATGCAATTAATGAACCTACATCAAATGTATTTGATTCAATGTCATCAAGTGTTATAAAATTAACTAGTGGTCGAGCACTTTATCTCAAAGAAATTAATCGTCATCTAGCATTAGTATGTATTTTACATGAAAAAGCACTTTCAAAACAAGCTATTATTGAATATAATGTTAATCAATTAAAAAGAAGCATTTTAGAATTATTTTGTTTTACTCATCAGACATCTACATCTTTCGTAGCACGATAGAATGCTTGTTGTTGTTGTTTTATAAAAAACAAAAATCGAAAATGGGCTCAATTTATATTTTATTTGTTCTCTCTGTCCTGACTCTATCAATTTATTAGAAATTCGTGTTCGGGTTAATTTTGTTGATTTTAAAAGCCTTTGACGTCGTCTTTCGCATTGAGAAGCATTTTTCTTTTATTTATGTACATAAATATATCTAATTGATTCAACAACAGTAATGCTATATTGTTTTTTCTTAGATTAATATATTACTATTGTTTGTTCATTTTCTTTAATTTGATGTTTGCTCTTCATATTAGTACAAACAGTGAATTGTTTTTTTATTTTTTGTTTGCTTGTCGGTTTTCTATTTATTATATGTGCATGCATACACAACAAACTCTTTGTTTCTTGTATTTTATACATATACATATTTGTGCTGCTTTTTGTTCTTGTATGCGTGAAGTTTTTAATTGAAAAAAGCAAATAGTGCAAATCAGGAATCGTGATTCTTTTAGTGTGGTATTGATTGCAACAACAAAAGTAAATGAAAAAAATATTTTATATTCGTATTTCTATAGAGTTATTGACTCAGTATTATAATCATGCATTCAGTCAGCTTAGTGTAAAATATATGTTCTATGCTAAATTGAGCCGAGGTAGAATTTGTTTTTAGCATATAAAATCAGTTCTTTATTCTCATTTTTTTCGATTTTATGATTTTTAAACCTTTTAAAAACTTTTTTAATTCTTTCAAAATGTCAACTTTTGCGTTATACACATATTCGCATATTGGGACCATTCAAATTGCGTGCAGGTAAAAAGTCATCGTTATTTTCCACGAAAATGAGCAAACGAGGAATGAAACCAAGTTATTGTTGGCTGAAATCTACTAAGTTTTTATAAATATTAAAACGGAACTTACAGGTAGCTTCTTTAGTGAAATTTAGTCTTTCAAATCTCTGAAACATTCCGTATATAATAGGTTTCACTAAAACATGCATTGAATTACTACTCCTGATTTTGTTCATGTTACAGCTGAGAAAGAACAATACTATTTGTTTTCTTTGTTCTTTTTCAAAACTTGAGCCGCATCCATGTTACTTCTGTTCGAATGTTAATATTCATGAGAGTTTTATTAGTGATATGACTAAAGTTGAAGGTTATATATTTGTAAAGTCTCTTTCGTGACAATCATGCGAACAAATGTATCTTTTGGATTACACCAATGTTTAATGATAGACAGTGATGGTCTGGCTGCAGGATGGGATGCCGAAGGTGAGGGACTCCTTAATCTGGTGTGGATATGAATGTAAGCGAGAATTAAAGATTCATCCATATTCATTACCCACATCCACCTCCAGGGGTGGATGTTCATCTCCATTGAGTGGGCATCCCATACCCTAGGTAGCGTATAAAGCACAGATCTCATGATAAACTCACGCTCATAGAGACTTTGCCCTAAAGTTTCGAAACTTTTATGTGCACTATTCTAGTTGGGATCTTCCTATAGGTAAAGTTGCAAGTCAAGATTCAAAACCACTAGTTATAGATAAAACTACGTTAGGTGAGGAGCATTTATTAACAATACAATCATCACCAGAAACAAGTAGAGACGCGAAATATTTTCAGAATATTGATAGTTCTTAGCTTCTAGATGATGCACGTACCTCCTGCTGAAATACGAATGGGTATATTGAGGAATTTTCTCGTTAGTTGAATGTAGAATTGGAGAGAAATATTCTATGTTGATTCGAAGTAAAATATGAGTACGTGATAAGTTGCTCTTTGTCAGATAGTATTAACATAATAATGCATTAGATGAGTGTGAGCACGACCAAATCTACGAAGTCACAAGCAATGATGCAATCTCTCAAGCTTCGAAAATTTCAGTCTGACTGAAAACACTCACTAGCAGATTACGATGAAAAAGAAATTGCAGCAACAGGTTGTTGACGGCAACAGTGTGTGACTCGAGTCAGGTGTGATCAAGCCATAAAAATTTTACTCATGTCGGATACTGGACCCAAGTGCATCAACGAATAGCACAAAAGAAATAAATTGATATGCGAAATCTATTGACGAATCCCATTAAAATGATACAAAAACAAAATTACACATTTTTGCAAAGGTCGTTAATATTGCTCATGCTAATTTCTTCATTTTTCTCTTGTGCAGAGTAGACTCGCATGCATCGTGCATAAAATCCCACTGGAACTTTTTGAGTAGTTTGTATGCACTTTTCTTGAGCAAAAATGGAAAAAGATGATCTCTATGTATTAAATCCAATTTTTGTCAGTTATTGGTAGTTTAAACATCCAATGTATACGAACAATTAATGGTTAAGTTCAGAAAAATTACTTTTTTCCACCTCTACTACTTAGATGCCTCTTGGCTTTCTTTGATGAATGAATTTATCGAGTGGTTCCATTAGATTCACTTCAAATCTGTTGAAGATCATTCGTCTGGTTTTTCGATTGTCATTGAATTTCTATTCGCACATTAAATGAAATCATATCTATGTTATCTATGGTGTGAACGTGAGTATAGCTCAAAAATGGGAAGAACAACACCCATACCCACACCCATATCCGCTGGAATTTCATTCAAAATAGCAAGTTGTTTGTCCCAATCAATATATACTGAGCTAGACGTGCCAGGTTAAGAATAATAAGCCGGAATAACACTGATTAACTCTATGTTGGTCACTTGTTTCATAAAAGCTTTTTATGATATCTCTCTGTAATTTCATTTGCGGATTTGTACCAGCACCCGGTGCATCATCCTAACATAAAATATAATAACGAATTTTAACTGAAGCTAATTGTTCTGACTTTAATTGAATATTGTGCAGCGATGTTTGAAAATCCACAATCCATTTAGGTCGTAAGTCGAATACAATAAAAATATTCGAAGCCTTAGAGATCGTATCAGACCATTCTTGGACTTGCTGTGCATTCCATAGGTTCATTGTAAATGCATCGTTTCAGTTTCTTGTGGACAAAAAAAGGTAGTAGTTTAAACCTTCATTCATCATTGAAATAAAATCATCACGTTGTTTCGAATAGAAATTGGCCTGACCTTGAACTGCATCGGCATTCATCCAATAAAATTCTTCAATTAAGCCATTGATCTCAATATTTGGAGATATTGCTATAGCTGATATAGTCATCAATATATTAACTAAGATTACAAATCGACTATAACTATATAAAAAAATGAAAAAAATTCTTATGTACAAAAATCGAAATTTATGCAATTGATAAACATCATTGGCGAGACTAGAAAAATTGAAAGTATAGTCAATCGAAACTAAGCAAACCAATATCAAAAAAATATTCTTGCCAACTATAATTCAAATATCAGCAGAGGTAGATTTGCAGTATTTTGTAGGTGATAAGTCTTTATTGTCTTACTGTACGATGTTACAATAATGAAACAACTAAGAATCACTTGTGTAAGAAAAATATTCGTCTGTGTTTGTATTGTCACACAAATATTCATTTCTCTGATGTCCAAAATGTATATTCATACTCAACAAGACAGAAGAAGAGCGGACATAGAATATCCAGGTACCCGCATTGGAAATCATATTTATACATACTGGAACAATACAAAGCAAGCGATCAATGTATCTAAAACTATAGTACAGTTATTCCATATGCGACTAAGAAAACCAAAATTGAATATGGATGGACGGATAAAATATTGCATTTTTCAAAGAGTTCAAGCATCTACGGTTTAAGTGAAGAGACAGCCTATTCCTGAAAGCTGCAGTCGACAAAATTGAAATGGTTGAAATCCAAAAGAAATTTTTCGTCGAAGGTGCTTCGTCAGGGTCTCTTTGCATACACTTTCTTACATTTGGCTTGACTATATTCGTTGTAGTGCCTTCTACCAGAAACTCAGCAGTTGATATTGAAAAGAAAACTCTGTTAAGGGGTTCAGCTGTTGTATCACTGTCCTTACATTTTTGTACATTTTTTTAGATTTTTATGCTAAAAATTCTTATATTCAAAGAAGATTGAGAATCATGCATTCGATCAATCATGGATTCTCACTTTGTTACAATAACATCTTCATTTGGAATGAGTGCCAGAAAAGAAAACAAATAATCATTCTGGCCTTTTTTTCGTAGGCGCTGTGTTAAACGATTGATGAATCCATACGAACCACATCTTTTAAAGTGACTATGTTTTGTTGAAACGAATTAATAGAAAGAAAAAGGACAGACTCTAATAAATCTGTGTGTCTTTTCTTTTTCTTTTTGGTTTCTTTATTGGCTTCATTCTTCTTTTTTGTTTCTCTATTCTTTGTACTAGTCATATATTTCTGCTCCCGTATCTGCAAGGTAAGTATGGTTACTCTTTTTTAATTATTGTCTTAATACCTTTATCAGCATGTACAAATATTTGTTGAAATCATTGTAGTACTGGAATATGAAATGCTTTGCAACGAGGACATCGAATCTACCTTAAATACTGTCATTTCCCTTTCGATTGTCATCGATCACCATGTAAGTACGATTCAGCCTATTAATTGCGAAAAATAAAAATGTCTGAAAGGTTTTTTATCATGGTTTCAATATTTGAAATGATTAGCTGTGAACATGAAATGATGAACAGAATAAGTCGATGCAGCTACGGATCGTTATCATGGCACTTACATCACACACCTATATATATATATATGATCGAAGTTAATTTATTCATCAAAGTTCTTCCCGTTGATCACTTTTCTCTTCCTTAAATTTTCTTGTATATGAATAAATATTCTACAGATGAAACAGATATATTGAATCTTTCCTAAGCAACTGAAGAATATTTTGCACTTTTCGACGTTTGCATAAATCGGCATTGTTGTCTTTCGAGATTTCTTTTTGCGACCGAAGTAACTTTTATCTTAAATATTTCGAATTGTAACATCACGAAACATACTGAAAAGAAAAATTCCACTGCAGTCAAATAGGTCTCCTTTTGGAGTGGTCGAAAAATTTATACAATCCTAGATGAAAGAGTGGA